AAGAAGCTGTCTATACATGGGGCATCCGCAGCAGGGGTTGTGACACGCACACGCACTCACACTTGCACCCTCACACGCACGTACAAACACACACAAACACACACAGATGCACGCACACACCTGTAGCTGTGTGCGCGCGCGCGTGTGTGTGTATTGTGTGCGGGTGCATTAACTGTCGGTTAAATGAGTTCCTACCTGGTGACGGAAAGGTCTTGAATATACGCAGGCGCTTTTATGCCTATTTATAGCCTCGTTAGTGCAAACTGCACATACGTGACCTTGTCAATGCGTTGTACACCCAACAGATTCAGCCCACTTACCGGAGTGTTTATACAGGGTGTCCCACGTAACTTGTGCCAGAGTTTAAAAATACGCCGGAATTCGTAATTAATACGCGACCAAATGCATGTTGCTCACCGTTGCCTGAAGTTAGACTATTTATTGTGTTCTCAAATACTGTTTAATTAGACATGTTTAACTAACTTTTTCAAGAAACAAAGATAGATAATTTCAATGAGAAAGTTGTTGATCGGTTTGCAAAACGTCTGATTAGACAGTTTTGAACTTTATATGTGTTAGGTATTGGTGTTTTTCTTCTAAATACAAATGCCCGCGAAATAGAAAAAATACCACGTGACTAACCCTCTCGTGCGTCAGCGCGCGCAATGATTCTACTGCTCCCTAACGTTCCGCGTACGAACGGCCATAGCATTTGCCCCATTGTGCTGTCTTGGCAGGGCCGCGACGGGTTTGTCACGTGGTATTTTTTTTTGTATTTCGCGTGCGTTTGTAATAAGCAGAAAAACACTAATACTTAACAGACATAAAGTTCAAAATTGCCTATTTGAGCGTTTTTCGAACCGATCTACAACTTTCTCATTAAAATGTGTTATCCATCTTCGTTACTACAAAAGTTAGTTAATTAAACAGCCCACTTAATATTCACCCCACTTACACGGGTCTTGCAAGGGGAAGACAAGAAGGGCACATTTACTCGGATTCAGTAAGAGGCGATTGCCATCGAGCCAGCTCGCGAGGGTGTTAAGATAAGACTGAAGCCGGTCAGATAACGTCTGAATGTTGCCTGCCGTTGCAAAGAAGATATCATCTGCATAAGCATAAATTCGCAGAAAACGGCTGTTTGTCGTCTTTCTCGCTCACAGCTGCCAGTGGCCCTGGTGGCAGTTATGAAGAAAATCTTCCTGTGGTAGATCTGTCTGCTAGATACGATAGGCTCCGCTAGAGAGAGAGGGTGTAAGGAAGGCGGAAGTTGGTGGCCGAGGGTGAGGGTTAAAGCAGGTGTACAAGCAGAGTCCCGCACATTCTGCTGTGCCGCTACTCACAGACCAAATCCATGATCGCGTCGTAGACCATGCAGCGCTTCGATTCTTTATATCACTGACAAGGGTTTAAGGAGTTTAAAGGGGAGGGGCACTGCTTTGAGGGACTTGGTGTGTGCACACTCGTATCATATATCAGTGATCCGTACAAGCGTTCGGGTGAAGTCCGCCGTGTCTAAGTAATGTTATCGTTGAAGGCAGTTTTAGTACGTTGTCATATCCGTAACCTACAGATTACGATAACGTTCCTATATTTAACGACGACAACATCCGGCTAACGCGGTCACGGAGCTCGTCACTGTCACCCGCCAGCTTGTTAGTAAAGTTTGTTATCTCCTAAGTCTATCTGTATTCAAAAGATAACTATACATCTTATCTTAAACGAAGACCGCGTGGCGGCCATGGAGCATGTTGTTGCCTCGCGAGTCAAGAGCGGGCTACTACCAATATCACTTCCTCCTAAAGCATTCACTCACGCGGGGGGAAAAACAGCCAATTCGGAGGCGATTCCGGGGACTGCAGTTAACATCCCGAAGCACCTTGAAAAAGCTCAAGGCGATCGAGTAGCTCCGAAGGCTTTTCCCCTCTGATTGCCAAGCTGTTTTAGCTCGTGTACATTATACAACCAATACGTGTTCGCCTAAAGTTAGCCCGCTTCGGACTCCGAGTGCCGATTCATAATGTACGCTGACAATTCCATCTCTCTCTCTCTTTCTCTCTCTCACTCTTGTAGTGTCGCGCGGTGGTTTAGTGGCTAAAATACTCGGCTGCTGACCCGCAGGTCGTGAGATCGAATCCTGGCTGCGGCGGCTGCATTTTCGATGGAGGCGGAAATGCTGTAGGCCCGTGGGCCCAGATTTGGGTGCACGTTAAAGAACCCCAGGTGGTCTAAAGTTCCCAAGTCCTCCACTACGGCGTCTCTCATAATCATACGGTGGTTTCCAGACTTCTAACCCCACACAATCAATCAATCAATCAATCAATCAATCAATCAATCAATCAATCAATCAATTTCTCTTGTAGCGGTAAACAAGAGTGTCGCGTCGATCCTTACACGTAGGTGGTTACGGTTAAACTAATTTATATGAACTGAGAGTTCGCGTATAGTGTCTCTCGAGTCCCTCAACCAGTGGAGCTTCTGAAAGATCTTGCCTGATTGGTTTTAAGAAAAAGTCATCTTAAAGGTTACCATAAACGTATGCATAAGAGCCCAAGAACCTACGCAGCAAGCGATGGAGGAAAATGTTGTGTGTACGAGCAAATTTAAGCATTCATGATGTGGAGTTAAACGTATAGAGGGAAAGTAGTGAACGCTATACCATGACTAGAGTGGTGAAAGGAATTGAAAGCGCAATATATTGAGTCGATAAGTAACAAAACAAGTGCAAAAAAAAGGGCAAGCAAGGCTTTGTCGGCCGCGGCAACATGTTATAGACTAATGGCGGTGTTTTATTGCCTCCGTTATAAACTTAACAGCTTACAATAGTGGCGTCCTGATGTCTTAGGTAGTCTATACAGAGTGATGGTGGCTTGGGATAAGTAAAAAGGCATGCATCTGCACGATGGCATTCGAATAAGGCATAGACGTGGTAGAATGTTTCGGAAGGCTCCCTTATGCATGCAGTGGACGTCAAAATGTTACTCCTGTTTGTTTTTCGCAACGAATTGGCTGCTTTATGGGATCAGTTTATGGAAAATCATAAGATGATATAAAAACGAAGTTTTCCGACAGTTCGGTTTAGTGCGGTTGAAATGAGAAACGCGGCTTTTATCGGGAGTAATGTGTCCGTTTTTTTTTTTTTTTTAAATGATCCCGACATATCAGTTGTATTCTGTCGAAGCTTGCCGTCGCGTACAATAGGTATGGTGAATCGATTTTCCTTATTGCATGCCGTTTCCTCATGCCCGCTGCGTTATCCTGGCGCAATACCTGATCGAGCGTGACCTGGAGCACGTGAGCTGCCGTCGTTAACAGCGCGTGACTAGGCACTTTTATACCAAGAACATTTGTCACATCTAAGGGATGAGAAAATCTTTGGACAGACATAGTACCGATAAGGCCAATGTGTCTGGCAAAAGGAGTAGTTGGCGCCAGCGTATTCCTTAATTTTTTTCTCCAAAAATCTCTTTTGTCACCTCGAGGACATTTGTCTCATCCAAGGGATGAGAAAATTTCTGGACAGGCATAGTATAGGTAAGGCCAATGTGTCTGGCAAACGGCACAGTTGGTGCCAGCGTGCTCCTTAATTTTTTGCTTCAAAAATCTCTTTTGTCACCTCGAGGATTTTCAAAAACACTAATTAACAAACGAATTTAGTGAAGTGAACTAATGTGCTGGTATAAAATATTATATGGGATGAAAAAGAAAAAAAAAGAGCGCCAGCTAAATTTCTCTTGCACGTAAGGAAAATTTTCAATGCAGTTTTTGTGATAGTTATTTCTCCCGTTCAAACAGCAATGCGACACAAACTCATTTAGTGACAGAAACGCCACGATAATACTTTCTATTCTCGCAGTTTTTTTGTTTTTTATCTAGATTTTTTTTTTCACTCTACGAGCGTAATCGTTGACGCTTAGGGAAAGTCGACAAGATATCGCTGAAAAATATGAGCGCTTCGTTATCGGCGTCTATCCTTAACAAAAAATAAGTGGATAGCATGCGTAGCAAATATAATATTGCTTTTAAATTTTTTAGTAGACTTGTTCTTTTTTTCTTTGATTGGGTTACAGTGCAGCTGTAAATACTGCCTCGCCAGAGAATGGCGACTGAATATCGATGGAAAAATTTTGACTCCAGTAAATACGCGTACTTTCCGGCTGTGCTATGTATTTACATATTATCGCGCTTCACGCTGCCACACCACCGGGAAATTACTATTGGCACCAGAAGTGATCTATGGTGGCCTGAGTTTTCATAGCTAATTGCTTAGTTACGCATACGGGCAAATGTTATGCATGGAATTAAACTACAACGCGCACGCATGTACAGGATATTTCAGCTAATTTGCGCCACGTATAAAAACTATTACGTGCGCTACGCTTGTCGACTCGGCCCTGCGTTGTTCCGAGCCTTATTCAACACGTCATCATATTCCTTCCAATCCGGCAATCCCCAGCGAAAAAATCTTCAATACCAAAGTTGTAGAACCTGTCCAGAAACGTCGGAGTGCTAATTTATGCTAACTGCCAATCCGCCGAGATCGGTAATTAAGATAGTTTACTCAACCCTTATAGAAATCAGCGAGAAATCTTCGATGCAAATTTAAGATTGTAACGCTTGTTCGAGAACGTCGAATTTATGAATGATAAAATAAAATACCGCCGTTTTTATTTTTGCTTCCAGCTTTTCTATACAGATTGTGCGTGACTTAAGAATATACTTCATAGTGTGCTCAAATTTGGGTGCACGTTAAAGAACTCCGGGTGGTCGGAATTTCCGGGGCCCTCCACTACGGCGTCTCTCATAATCGTATGGTGGTTTTGGGACGTTGAACCCCACATATCAATCAATCAATCGAGAATATACTTCATACATGTTAACTGATCCGCCCTGTATGCCCGTACGACAGAGATTGCACGTGGCTCTCTGCGCATGACGGAAACGAGAGAGAGAAAAAATTTTTTTTACCCCGATAGCCGCCGGGCAGCTGTGGCGCTTACCTTGGCCGGCTTGCGAGAGTTGCTGCGGCTGCTGCTAATGCGAGTCCCAGCCAAAACGTTCCGTTCGCCCCGACGCGTGACGCCGATGTGAGCAGCCGAACGACGGCCGATCCGGTGGGATGGACGTCCTTGAAACCCTTGCGCGCTCCGGCGGTCGTATCGCGAAGGCTGTCTACCCTTTCGATCGTTTTTCTTTTTTGTTTCACTCTCTCACTCGCCGTCCCGACCCGTTGTTGGTGTTGCTCACTCACATACAAGTCATCGCCGCTGTTGTTTCTCACTCCAACATTGTTATTATTAAAGACGATAGTCTTTCTTGGGGACCGTCGACGGAAAAATTTTGTGTGTTTAGAAAAAAATTATTTACAGCTAGTACAGAACACAAAGGCTTCATACCATTCCAGTAACAAGGCATATACACCTCGGCACATCTATATTTCACGACTAACATCACTACGTTACAGTGAAGACATTTGCTCTAATGTACATGGCAATGTTGGCATATATGTACACAAGAACTGAATGCGATATCATGATACAATGGTATAACGATACAATAGATGCAATGAAACACGATATGTAACAAATGAAGTCTGTCTGTGTGTCCGCCCTAACGACACCTCAAACGGCACCGAACGGCCAACCCCATCCGCAGCGCCCACCAATATTGCTCAAGGTTTAGCGTTCATAGTTGTGCGATTGTCAATTAAAAAAAAAGCAAATATTGCGCATATCTGAGCCGCCATAACATCATGTCTATGTTTTGTATGTCTGCCTTTATGTATAAACTAGAAGAGGACACGCACAAAACACTCTAAGGACTGTATAGCGTTTAACGCGGTGCGCTGACAGTGCAACGCGATGCTCAAGAAGGTGTTTCCAACGCTTTGCCATTTTCCTTTCACTGTTGTCTGCGTTTACAGCGAGAACTCTTACGAGATCACAACAAGAGTTGTTGCGCCGTATACAGTTCTCCACCGCCGCCGCCGCAACCTTCGGTTTCCGTTACTGCTATCGCCCGAAGTAAGAAAAAAAACTAAATAAATAAACACCGAGGACAAAGTGAGATTTTAACCCTAGTTCTTTGCGTGCTAGGCTAGTATTCTACCACTGAGCTGCGCCGGTGCTTGGAAACTCCGTTGCAAGCTGACCCTATAGGCAGGCTTCATATCGGGAAAAGAATCGCGTCATTTTGTGCGATAGATATATAATTTGTGCAATGATGATCGATATATGGTGTTTTATGGCGCAAGGACTAGTGATAGCCAAAGAGCGCCAGGTCACGGTATGAGACGTGTTCAATGATGATGCATGGTGGCTGTATAAGGGCCTAACATGTTGCGCACTAAAGGTGCGTAAAATAGAATTAAAATAATGAGCGACATGAAGTGTATGGAATGGACTAGGATAAAACATCAACATGAACACGCTGCTTCTAAAAAGCTGTCATCTTACACAGCACTTCTACTTCGCAAGAACCCTTTTGCACAAGGGACTGGATGATGGTTTCATATGTGTGGTTTAACGTCCCAAAACAACCATATGATTATGAGAGTCGCCGTAGTGGAGGGCTCCGGAAATTTCGACCACCTAGGGTTCTTTAACGTGCACCCAAAATCTGAGCACACGGGCCTATATGCAACATTTCCGCCTCCATCGGAAATGCAGCCGCCGCAGGCGGGATTTGATCCCGCGACCTGCGGGTCAGCAGCCGAGTGCCTTAGCCACCGCGGCGGGGCGCAAGAAACTGGTGGGTAGCGCCTGAGCACATAATGCCGCAGCAGCATCTTCTTGAAGAGGATGTGCTACGGGTCTAAAGTCCAAAATGTTCAATGTGCGGTACTGTTTAAGAAAGTTCAAGACAGACTGACGATCAAAGCATGCATGGTTACCTAAAAAACATTTCTGGATGAAGGGGGACCTGCTCATAGTAGCGTTTAGAGAAATTACTTTCTCCTGAGATTTTCCAATCCTGCACGCATTATTAATATACGTGAAGGACGGTAGGTGTCTCTCCACACGTACGGCATTTCGGAGGTTCGCCGCCATTTAAAAGATGACTGTGAGTGCCTAAGTATGTCCTATTCTCAGCCTTGAAAAATAAGACCTCATTTCGTCTTGATATTATGGTTGCAAGCCAATGACCCTAGATTCGGCTTAATGAGATGAAGCTTATTGCTAGACTGAGCGTCCCACAGACGTTGGCAGCACATCCGTAGTCTCTTCGGTATATAAGGTTTCACATCAAGATAACGGACCGGCATGGAGTGGTTTCCAGCTTTTGCATTGACGGAGAGTTTTTTAGAACACCAAAGTAGCAGCCAGGAGTCACACGATGTCAATCACGTAACGAGTGGCTCGTCGAATGCTCCAACCCATTACAATAGCGTTAGGTTGAATTATTCATCGTCTTCAGAAGAAGGGAAAGACGGGACGTGAATACGGGAAGTGACGAAAGACAGACGAGCGCCTGGGTACCACGCATCTCCGAAGAATGACGAAGGACAGTGAATGCCTCCGCACTACGCAAACATATTATGGCGTAGCACAAATGTTCCTGTTTAGCAGTTACCCGAAGAATGTGTAAGGAAGACTCTATAGAAAGGTCGCTTTTCCCGCTTTCGCTGTGACAGTGCTGCGTGTTCTGCGAAAACCGGGCCTTTAGGGGCGAAGCTCCTCATAGCGGCACTTGTTCTTCCCCTGTAGTCGTTGTAGCATTACGTAACAAGTATAACATTTCAACCACCAAGATTGTGTCAGTGAGAGATTTCTTTTGTGCGTTGTTGAACAATGAAAGATAGTGCTCAATGTACATGCCAATGGCTGCTAAGGGGGAATAAGGGACAGGAGAATTCGGCTTTTATTTTACGCGCACGCAGCGAATTTTGATTGTTCAACAACGCACAGAAGACAAGAAAGGGTACGTTATACTCGCTGGGCGTAACCTCCTAGGCTTCAGAAAGGTTTAGCGAGCGTTGGGCGCAGTGCCATGAATACATTGAACTAGTATATACCATGAACTCGAGGTCGTTAAAGGTAGGAAGTAGACACAAAGCGCAAGCCGTAAGAAAGTCTGCGTGTGCCTCCTCTCGTTCAGTCCTTGGAATGTCCGCTGGATGGCGGTGCTTCTATATGAGGAATATATGATGAAAAGATGCGAGATGGTGGTACTTGGAGTGTTGATTAGGTGGACGAACGGACACACAGACAAATCCATGGACGGACGCACGGGTGGCTGCACGGACGGATAGACGCATGGAGGGACGCAGGAGTGGATGCATCGACGAAAGCAGGGACGGACGCACAGATGAACCTGCGGACGCACGGATGCACGCACGGACGGGCGGATGGACACACGGGCGGCCTCACAGACGCACGCATGGATGGACGGAAGCAAGAACGAATGGACGGACGGATGCCTCGCCCCACTATCCATCATTCACTCCGTGGATATGCTGCCAGTTTTTTTTTTTTTTTAAATAATCACTCGCTCACTTATATACATGTCCATGGCTACCGCGCGATTATGCTGCTGTAGGTTGAGAGTTCTACACCTCAATCTCGTCCGAGCACCCCGAGTATAATTAGGCTGGTTGGTCGTGTTGGCGATTCGCGATACTTGAATGTACGGGTGCTTAACTACGTGGGAACACGATAAGACGGGGCAAGGACCCGCAATTTGCCCCGTCGGATAAGGAGCTTGGTTGCTTAGTCATGCTTACATCCCATGACTACCCCACCATTCTGCTGCCACGTTGCGGGTTCGATTCTACGTCCTTCAAACACTTATAATTTCTTTAATTGGGTGCGTATATATTTGATTAGCACGTTGCACTGACTGAGTATAGTGTCTGACGTCACATGGCGTCGCACATGTAGCGAAATGGCGGGCGTCGGTGGAGGGTGGGGTTATAGCCGGCTCCTTCTATGGCTTATGTACGAAAGTTGAATATTTTTGTGGAGTTCATTTTTCCTATATATATTGGTATAATAGACCTGCTACCTGTATCTATCGCTGAAAAATCGCGAACCGTTGGGTGACCGCATCGTTGATCTTTTAGCATTTCTGTCACTCCATTCGCAACACAACCCAGCCGCGGTGGTCTAGTGGCAAAGGTACTCGGCTGCTGACCCGCAGGTCGCGGGATTGAATCCCGGCTTTGACGGCTGCATTTCCGATGGAGGCGGAAATGCTGTAGGCCCGTGTGCTCAGATTTGGGTGCACGTTAAGGAACCCCAGGTGGTCAAAATTTCTGAAGCCCTCCACAACGGCGTCTCTCATAATCATATGGTGGTTTTGGGACGTTAAACCCCACATATCAATCATTCGCAACACAGGCCGCAGTGAAGATGCCTCAACAAAAGTGTGTGCTGTAAAGAAAATGTAAAAAAAAGGATGAAAAGGAAATATGTGTGCAAATCTAGTTGACGAAGAGAAAATAGCGTTGCTATACAGTTTGGTTTACGAAAACAATAGCGTTTTTGTTTTTCGTGCGCAGCAGCATGGATCACGTGCGTAGAGCTGCTGCCCATGCGCACTTTACGAAATGCAGCGTTTCTGAAGTACGCAACGCCATTACGGACGCTACGTATTCGGCAATTAACCACTAAACCTCGCTCACATTTCGCGGAAAGAGCTAATACTTGCTGCCAATTCACTCGATCAGAATCGACGAAAATATAAGAATGGTTTTAGGTAAAATCAATATTTTATTGGCATAGATTACGATCTCACACCCTAATCATAAGCTAGTTTAGAGTCTCGCATTGTATACCCAATCAACACCAGTCGCATTGAATTCATAGTCTTTCGAACCAGGGTGGTTATTAAGTAAAAAAAGACCTTTAACAAGCGCCCCACTTCGCCACATTGCGGCAAGCGGATTAGAACTCCATCTTGTGATACGTTTCTAATACGTTGTATGTTCGTTGCTTGATCTAACGCCTGAGGTTCCCACTCTCGTATGTCTCGTCTATGAAGACAGCAGTATACGTAAATAAATAAGATAAATAAGTTAGTTAAGCAGGCTGCCAAGAGGAACCTGAGAGAATCGCATGGACAGCACATTTTCGATTGTAACCGTAATATATACAAAGAAGCGATTATGAAAAGAAAAGGTTATTGTAGGCGCTCAGTCAGGGCCTTCTGCTC